GGCGCAGGGTAGCAGGAAACTCTCCGCACACTCACCGGACCTGGGCTAAGACTGGGTCTGGGGGCTCCTGGAACTCAGCAGAAAATCCTACTGGGCGGGCGGTGTGGGGGAGGCACTGCGGAGTGGTGGGGGGCGGCCCGAGGGGCTGGGAGAGGGTCCAGCCCACGCTGCGCCTGGGCTGGGACTGGTCCCGCAGGCCTCCAGTTTAGATTTAGCAGTATGCAACTTTTTTCTGCTTTTTAAAAGCAGAAAAAAGTTGTATGCTGCTAAATACATTATACTACTAAATACATAAATACCCTGTACCAAATACATTAAAAACTGTTGTAATTCTATTTGTATATTCATTTCTTGCTGTAGTCCAAAGACATATATGTCACAAAATTATAATCTGTGTTACTGTTAAACAGATTGAACAAAATTTAAGATTTATCTTTTTTGCCCTTATATATATCCCAAAACATAGGAGTCTGAAGTTATTTGAGGAAGTTTTTTGCTAACAACTTGATGTATAATTAGTTTCTGTTTATATTTAGTAAGATTTACTCTTTACATTTTAATGTAGCAATTTTTAAATATGTAACACATTTATATGGTTTAAAAATTTGAAACTGTACATTTTTAAAAAGTAAATTCTGGGGCCGGGGAGATGGCTCAGTAGGATAAGCGCTTGACTGACAAACGCAAGGATCTGAGTTCCATCCCCGGTTCTGCCAAAAAAAAAACCAAACAAACAAAACCTGTTTAGGAGCCAGGGAGATGGCTCAGTGGAATAATTGCTTCCCTAGCAAGCACAAAGGCCTGAGTTCAATCCCCGTTTCTGAAAAAAAAAAAAAAAAAGTAAAATAAAAAAGTAAATTCCAACATCTTAATCTCTTTTCTCTCTAAAGTGTGTTTATAGTTACTTATCAGTGAATAGTTTCATCCATTTGTATTTTTCTAGAAATAAGCTGATATCCTGTGTGTATTCTGTTTTTATTACCCTTTCTGCCACGTAGACATGTTTTATGCATACTGTTTTATGCTTTTCACTTAAGTGATTTCTAGGGAACATTTTTCTTAGTGCAGGAGATGATTGCTTGTTGTGCAGCTTGGCCGTACTCACTTGTGGCTGTGTGTGGAATGCTCAGAGCAGTCTCCTTGACCTCTGGGATGCTGCAGTGAGTTACTTTGTGCATTCCTTCTTCTTGTTTGGGGAGAGCCGTATTTACAATAGATTTCTAGAAGTCAGATAGTTGGATCAAGGACAAATGTGTGTGCAGTATTGTTAGCTGTTAACAGATTCCTCTCCTTAGTGGGTGTACCATTTTGTCTTCAGTAGTATGTTTGTCTCCTCAACAAGAGCTTTTTTTGTTTTTGTCAACTTCTTTGTTATTTTTTTTTCCAGTCTGATAGTAAGAATTGGGACCTCATAGCAGCTTTCATTTTTTGTTTATGAGTAAAATTGAACATTTTTGTTCATGTTTTTAAGGGCTATTTATAGACTTTTCTGACGTTTTCAGAGGTTTTGTGTCATAAGAAATCAGTAGGGGGCAATTTATTAGAGTTGGTACTTTCTCTCTTAAAATAGTCACTCCTTCTCTGGTGTGAAATATTTGGGGTCCTTGTCTTTACTGAGTGAGTTATATTCATAACTGCTTTTAAGAACTTATACTTGAATGAATATTATACACTAGCTATCCAAAATAGGGACTTGAATTTGCTATGTTAGTATAAAGTGCAAAATGGTGCCAATTTTATTCATTGTTAGGTCAATTTTATCCTATTTTTATATCTGTGACTATAGTACTTTAAACCTAAAATTATACTGTTGCTTTAATAAGAATAGTGAAATGCAGTACATTGTAGAAATACAAAGCAGGATGGTGCTAGTATGTTTGGGCAACATCTTTGGTGATGATGTCATAAACTATCGGGTTACTTTTCTCATGTCACTATTAGTTATTAATCTGACTAATAGCATAGTAAATGTGTGTTTTAAAATTAGAGTGAAATTAGCCATGTAGAAGTTAGCTTGAAATACAGAGTAACAGATGGAAACATTTAATTTACACAAATAATCATGGTAGGGGGCCGGGGAGATGACTCAGTGGACTAAGCGCTTCCCTGGCAAGTGCAAGGGCCTGAGTTCAATCCCCGGTTCTGGAAAAAAAAAAAAAATCATGGTAGAATTTCTGGGTTATTCTCATTTTAATAGTGAAGAATCAAGCCATCTTGTAGAGGACGTACTAATGAATGATATCCCTGTAGTGGAGTAGGAGGTGTGAGAATATTTAAAGATATGGATATTTACATAAAGATGCATTAGTCATAAAATATTGTATATGTTATGGCATCTGTAGGTTAAGTAGTGGTTCTGGTGTGTGGGAAAAAACTTACATATTCATTATTTTGGTTAGTCATATTTAATTTAAAAGGCAACTCAGCAGTGAAAATTTTGCCTATGTTTATTTAGAATGGATTCATCGCAACTTTGATAGGGGAAGAAAGATACTTTTCACTTTCTTTGGGCAATTTTGTTTCTTGCCATCTTCATTTGGATGGTCTTCTAGGAGTTCACAAAAAGGAAGGATAGAGATCGCATTGAATGTGCTTCTCAGGACGAGCTGTGGTGGGTGTGTTGGCATGCTCTTAGCTCCTGAGATTTGTTTTATCTGAAAACTAACAAATTCTGCATAAGAAAACTACTGGGTGAACCTTGATCTTAGTCTCCCTCTTTTTCTCTTGTTACAGATTTTGTACACATTTCTGTTTCGAAAAACAGTTTTACAGACATAAATTGGAGAGTGCTTTACATATAAAAATTTAGTTCTTTGTATTCATTGTATACCTTTTAAAATTATTACTTAGTTTTTTTTTAAACTACCAATAATTGGATTAATTTTACAGGAGTATTTTTGTATAAAACTGTAACAGTTACTTTTGCATACAGCACAGTTCTTATTACCACCGTAGTTATTTTTCTGCTGGAATTGATGAAAGGATAGAAGTTACAGATTAGTAGGAGGAAGTAACCCGTCTAAATGTTGACAGGTGCCGTCAACTCTAGAATCTGCCTATGCACAGAAAGCAAGCAAAACATGACCTTGGGAGGGATGGCGAGATAGCTCAGCGGACTTGAGCACCTGCTTAGGCAAGCTCAGGGACCAGGGTTCAACCACATGTTGTGCCAGCCCCACCCCCAGGTGCGCTATGCCAGCCACCAAGACTGGGCATGGTGGTGCACGCCTGTAATCCCAGCCCTGGGGAGGCTGACAACAAGAGGACCAGTATGAGTCTGAGCTGCGTAGTGAGACGCTGTACCAAATATATTAAAAAGAAAACAAACAAAAAAAAAATGACCTCTGACTTAAAAACAGATGTAATAAATTTCACAAGAGAAGCCTTTGATCTTCTGTCAACATTTATTTACTCGCACCTTATAAGTAGCTTGTTTATTAGGTTTCCTAGCTCATAATAGATAGGAAGCAATAAAATGGTAGGATAGCAAAGATGAGGGTTAAAAAAAAAGATGCAGTCAGAAGTGATAAGTGATAACAAAGGAGGAATCAGGAAAGTTTCTGAAAAGAAGTCCAGTGGTAGATGTTCTTGTACAGGTGAAAGTTCACACTTGAGTAACTTCACCCAGTGGCATTCTGTCCCTGAACATGTTAAACTCTTAATCCTATCTATATAATGGGCTCAGTATTACTTACCTCAGCAGTCATTGGGTGGATTATATATCTGCGGTTGCATATTTGAAAACATGTAGCATATCAGGCACAAGAGAGCAGTCATTAGTTGAATCCTGCAGTGGTATGTATCTCAGTAGTTAAGCTGTGCATACTGTACTTAAAACTTTTTGTTGTAGTCCATCTAAAATGTCAAGTTCACACTTGTTTTATCTGTGGTCTGCAAATCCAAAAAACTCTGAAAACTGCAAGTTTGTGCAAACTCTTGTCCAAAAACCCAAATTGATGAGATTACAAGACCTCCTTTGTACATTATTTGATATTTTAGTATTTCATTGTAAAAATAGAAAGAAGTACAGTAGTGGAGTGCTGTCCCATATCTGCCCGAAGAATTCTATGCGTATCCATATTTTGTCTCTAAAATGGAAAATTCTGAATTCTAAGGTGTATCTGACTCTTAGGAGCTTTGGATAGATCATGGACCTTTGTTTTTAGCATATTTGAATGAAGGGAAGAATTCATGTGATATGATTTAATAAGAAGATACTGTGGATACTGAGTGTTTAGTCATTTTAGAATGTTAATTGAGGTAGTAATAAACACTTTTCTTTCTTTCCTTCACAGCAAAATGAAAAGGAGAACTTGTTAAAAGAAAGAGATCACATTTTGTCAACTTTAGGTGAGACAAAACAGAACCTGACAGGACTTTGCCAACAAGTCTGTGAAGAGGCGGCTCTGAGTCAAGAACAGATACAGATTCTTGCCAAGTACTCAGCCTCAGATTGCCCTCTTTCATTTTTAATTTCGGAAAAAGGAAAAAGCACATCCGATGGTGAACTTCTGTTACGATCAATTTTCAGTTTATCAGATTGGCCTCCAGCCACGTCCCCCAGTGGGAGAGGAGGCTGTGAGCCTGGCTGCGCAGGGGCGCGGGATGCCCAGCCACCTCCCACAGCTGCCTCAGAGCCTGTGGGGCCTGTGGAGCAGAGTCGCCAGAGTGGTGGGATCTCAGATTTCTGTCAGCAGATGACTGATAAATGTACTACTGATGAGTAAGCTTTCTTTCCCCTCCTTTAGCCCCTTGGATTTCCTACTGAAGTTTTGACAAATTGTCTTAAAAGTCCAGTATGGTCATCTCTTGGTTTCAGATCTTGTTTTCCCCTTGTAACTTTTATTTCATTCAAGAGATCTCTCGTAAATCAATCCTGATTTCCACAAGAGACATACAGATGATTTGCCTCCTAGGTTTTGAAAAATCACATGTGAAAATTTAGTAAGCCCTTAAAACCTAGGTTTCAAAATATATCACTTTTTTAGTAGTTTCCAAGTATTCAAAATAACTATGGGAGTGAAAACTGCAGCATATCACACATGGTTCTCCAGGAGCATCTGCAGATAGTTCCCAGTAAAGAGGTGGCCTGCAGAACCTTAATAATCGCCTTTTGCCATGTACTGGATTAAAAAACAGTGCTGCTAGAGGTCCAGTCTACTCAGAAATAGGGTGTCAGCAGCGGGAGGTAGGGCAGCAGCGTGAAAAGGAAATCGTCTTAGCTGAAGCCTGAGTCCCAGAGCTCTACCCCTCTGCTGCTCCTGACACCGGATGTGGGTTGGGCTGGCTGTGATTCCTCAGCTGCTCTGGGGGACCTGGGTGAACAAGGAGGTGGCTGGCCAAGGAGGAAGCCTTTTCTCCTCCTCCTCATTGACGCTACAATTTCTGGCTGCAAATCCAAACAGCAGATACATGTCATTTTTCCCTCTTGTTTTTTTTTCCCCCTCTCCTCGCTACTCCCTACCACATCTGGGCCCCTCATGAGCTTGCTGTTTTCTTACATTCTTAACTCGTGAACAAGACTCGAGACTGTGCTGAGTGAATGATCTGGCAGCATTGTTAGAGGCGGCTCACCACACATTGGGTCACCAGTGCCAGAAAAGCAGACATTAGTGCACAGAAAATTGCCTGCATTCGCTAGGAGCACAGTTCATTTTTCATCCTGTTTTTAAAGTCTTGTGGTAGACTTATAGATACCATTGTTATAGAAAAAATGTATCTACTCTGACTGTGCTGGTTGATGAGAAAAAGTGAAACTTGATTTGTACCATTTGGGAATCAGATTTTAATCCTTTCTTTCGTGTGGTATAAAGGCACATAAATCATTTTGACTTTTGGGCATTTAAAAATCATTCTTTGTATATATTTGATCCTGTTATAAAATGTATTTATAATTTGAGCATCTGCCCCATAATGTTTTATGATTCTTAGCCAATATGGAATTACAGACTTGAGATTAAAAAATGAAAGCTATAGACCTACACGATTAAACAAAACAAAAACACATACAGGTTTGCCTGCATCCTTAATCATGAATTCTGAAATGCTTCAAAATCCAAAACTTTGGAGCTCTGACATGATGCCCGAAGTGGGAAATTCTACACTGGACCTCTATGGCAAGGAGCAGCCACAGCACACAGACGAACTGTTCTTAGTTACTCTGGGCTGTGTGTGTCAGGTGTGTAAGGAACACAGATGAATTGTGTGTTCAGGCTTGGGATCCATCCCCACAGTATCTGTTCAGAAACCTGAAAACAAATCTGAAATCTGAAAGTTCTGGTCTCAAGTATTTCAGATAAGGGGCACTTAACCTGTGTTCCTGGAACCATTTGCAGAACCCAGTGTTTGGGGACGCACAGAGGTAGTTTATAGTATTTGCAATGGAAAGTACTTCATTTTATTAAGTTGGACACCTGAAAAGATACTTCTCTAGACTACTGCTGACTCCATTCAAGGGCCTACATGACTGAAAGGGGGGAAACATCCGTCCACTGTGTACAAATGAGTCAGAAACAATAGAGCTTTGCCTTGAGAGTGGATGGGGACCAGTTTCAATGTTCCAGAGTGATTTGTTAAACATTACTTTTTTTCATCAGGGTGTGGGGCAGGGTGGGAGTGGATTTGCTAATATATTGTCAGTGTTTGTATGTTATCTGTTATTGACTTAATCAGAAGAGAAAACTGGTTTGTAGAGGCTTCCAGAAGTACTTTTGATTTGTCAGGGAGAATGCTTATTCTATGAGAATGCATCCCATACTACAAAATAATTCTGCGTACCTGTGTATTTCCCCGTGTAGCTGTTTCCTTGATACTTGTAATTTTAAATTTCAGTGTTGCAGTATAAAATAATGCAAAGACTTTTCTGGTTTACAAAATGTAAAGTTTTCTTCAAGCCAATGGAACCCTTGATTTCCTACCTCAGTGTACACTCAACTGTCAATCATCAGTTTGTATGTGCAAATGTCAAGTAATTTTTTTGCTTTAATTGCAACTGTAAATATTTGCTTTGAACAATAACTCTTTTATGCTAAATCCTAGTTATCTCCACAGTTTGAATATAATTTTTAAAGCTCCTATTTTATATTTCTCTCTACCTGTAAACAGGTTAGCATTAAGAGTCATTTTAATGGTATGTGATAATTGGCCACAGGTAATATTTCTTAAAATTTAGCATTACCTTTAATAGCCAGCATGTAAGACAAGTATAACTACACTACCTCATACCTACAGGATTTTCAAGTTGTAATATAGACAAAAGGATTTTATCTTTGTCATTTGGCCATAAGGTGGGGAAGTTTTCTATATATTGCATAGCATTACACATTTATGCCTATTTTAGCATTAACTTCTAAAGAAGTTTTTTCTAAGGCAATTTGTTTCAAGGCAATATTTTTTTTGAGGCTGCCGAAGACAAATGATAGGATTATGTGTATACAGTGTATGCCTTTTCCTTCATGCAGAATTTGCAATTGTTGCTTTCATTTTATATATTGCATATGTACGTGATCATTGTTCCTTGTTTTATGAACTGGCCTCAGTGCTCAATCAAGGTTTTTAAAAAGATATTATGTAAAATAGCATTACCATAAATTTTACTTCTTATTTGAATACTATAGCTATAGCAATTTGTTAAATTGTTATATTTAAAACAAATGTGAATATAATATTGGTTCTCCATCTGTAAGTTTTGTAACAATTTACTATAGCTTAGTGCTTAACCAATTGTAAATAAGGAATTAAGTGTAGTAGATACAATAGATGACACAGATTGCACGTGGACATTCAGCCACATCAACAACTTGGAAAAACAAGAAAAGGCAAATGTTATCATGAATTCTCAGGTGAACTTTTTTCAGTTACGAAACATCTATTTTGAATTTGTAAATATTTTAAATGTTTTATTAAGGCATGTAATAAACTATTCTTTGAAATCTGTTGGGTAGAATGAACATTAAAGCCATAATGGTAAAAGATGGCATACTGATTGTAAAAATAAACAGAAATAATAGCATTATTGATTTTTTGTATCTTTCATAATATAATTTTCTAACAATACAATAAAACCACTAAACTTGTATATCCATGTCTTATTAAAACCATGTTTCATTAAAAGTCCACTTTTATGGTATTTAATTTACATGTTCTTAATGAGCTTATCTAAATGTAGCAAAACTATTAGGTGTTGATAAATTGACAATAAAATTCTCTAAAATTGTTTCTACTTGAATAGAGTTGTACACTCCTTTTCATTTTATTGTCTCGTGAATTTATTAATTTTAGTCTCTTGACCAGTAATCAGAAGTCAATAAGATTGTGGCAGTGATAGAAAGTATTTCATTAGAAAATATTATGCCTGGAAAAAAAAAAGGTAAGCACATCACTCAGGTGTTTTAGGAAGTACAGATTTTTATCTTCTAGCTGATTTAGTTAACTTTGATTTATGGATTAGGAGCTTTTAAAGGGATAATTATCCCTGTCAGGCATTGACTTCATGGTGGTTTTGGTTTTTTGAGATAGATTCTTGCTATGTAGTTTAATCTGGCCCTAAACTCACTGTGTAGCCCAGGATGGATGGCTTCAAATTCATGACAGTGACGCATCAGCCTCCTGAGTTCTGGGGTAATAGGAACGCACCACCCGGCCCAATATCATTGAGTTCTAAAACATTGCCTTCATTAGTCAGCTGTCGTGGTATATTCCAGTTTCTAACATGGCAGCTGCTCAAGGTTCCTAACCTTGTACGGCATGGTCTCTTGTCTACTGATAGTGCTTCTCAGCTGGGGAGGCCTTGCTTTAGGGTGTGGCAAAACCAGGACATCGCGGACAGAAAACCAGGAATGTTGCCAAGCAGTCTTCAATGCAGGCAGCATTCATAGCAATTGTCCACTTGAGGTGTGAGCCTTGCCAGTGGTGAGCAACTCAGACTAGCCTAAGGATGGCCTCAAGATGAGTAAGGAAGTACTGAGTTGGGTAAGGCAGTGTCGTGGCTGCAGGAACTTAAGGCAGAAGGTACATGAAACATGGAATGTCACCAAGACTGCAGTCCAGATGGAGAGAAGGAGGACGAGGTCTCTAGGACAAAGAAACCTGGGTTCATGGGGTGGGGAGGTGATCAGGTCGCAGTGGGAGGGAGGAGGAGCCCAGCCTAGAAAGTTCTTGCAGGACGGTGGTCCCTTTGTCCTTTGCCAGTGTATGTATGCAGCAATGTGCATATCGCCCTGCATTGTTGACTTAATTAGTGAAGGTGAGACTGTCAGGTCTTTAATCAAGTGCTAACTGCTGTGTGTTGAAGAGAGATTTTCATTTATACTTTTTTTTTTTTTTTTTTTTTTACAGTACTGGGATCTTAACTGAAGGAGCTTCATCCCTAACCCTGTTTAAAAGGTTTAAATTTTGAGAGTTGGTAAGCTACCCAGGACAGACTCAGACTTATGATTATCCTGCCTCAGCATCCTAGTATGCTTTTTGAGATTGGCTAATAAATGGTTCCCTCTCTTTGGCCAGGATTTTAAGTCATTTTAGAGAATGATGATTCATACTGCTGGAGCAGGCCAGGTTGGAACTTTGTGAATTTGCTGAAAATGAGCTGTGAGATTAGATTTACCCATCTACTTAGCAACTCTAGCCCAAGTGGTGAAGTTTAGGGAGGAGCAGGAAAAGCATACTTTTTATAGCAAATCCAAATGTAAGATCTGTAGAACCATGTAGGTTAACTTGTGATACAGAAGGCAGGCAGGTCCTTAGGGGATCTGGACCGGAAACATGTTCCTCTTATGCCTTCCAGTTTTAAGTTTTCTTAAAGCAGTAACCTTCACTATTGCCCACTGCTCACCTAGGGCTGTTGGTGGGCACCCAGAGGAGGAGAGCATCACTGTCAGGAAGCGGAGCTGCCATTGCTGCTCCGAGGCTGCTCCCCAGCACGGGGCTGACAGAGGAAGCTGGGTAATTGAACACTGAAAGCTCTGAAATAGATCCAACGAAAAACTATTAAGTAAATAGGCTACTCATACCAAAATGTAAAAATAATGCTTCCCATTCCCCAAATGCCCCTGCTTCACTGTCCATTAGAGCAAGCTCCACAGGTTCTACATTGAGATTAAATCCCAACACAGGAAGATGCTCATAGGAAAAAGCATAAAAGTTTGTCCAGTAATGATGATAGCCCAAATCTAAAGAGAAATACCCTCCAGTTTTTTAGGGGGAAAGGACAGTTGGAAGGTTAAATCCCTTTGGAAGCTAAAATACAAAGACATTAATGGAGTCAGCTAAATCAAATTCTCTTATACACAGGAGTTCAAAGTTTAAAAACTTCTAGAATAATGTATCTAAAAACTCTCCTGCTGTCTAGTCAGCTTTACCTAGATGCCCATTGGAATTGAGCTTCCTTCAGGAGTTATGGCTATGGCTGTCTTGATGGTAGATCTTGCAGGACCTCTTAAACTAAATTCAAGGCCAACTCCAATCTGCTTACCTTTCAGAGTATAAAGAATTGTCACACTTTGGCCCCATAGCCACATCTGTTTCAAAATAAGCCACTCTTAAGGCATTAAATCAGCTTAGTGCCTCCAAAGACCAAAGTAGAAACTTAGTGGTATCAGAAAAAAGCCTAGAAAATTTTAGTTTCAGCTTTTGAGAGATTCTGCTGTTATGCAATCCACAGCCCATGACCTTAATCTGTATTGGGATGACTCTGGGATTAATTTAGGCCCTGTGCATTGCTCCTTTCTTGGAGAAAGATCACTGTTACAGTTTATTATCTGTATGTCCCCCAGTGGCTTCTGGAAGGTGACTGGATTTGGGGGCATCATGGCAGACTTGCTGTTTGGAGTCTGTTTGGAAGAAGCAGGTCACTGGAGTTGTGCCCTGGGAGGATCTAGCTCCCTTCCTGTGCCCACCCTTGTCTCATTGCTTTTTGGCTGCTGTGATGTGACAGCTTTTCTCCATCAGGCCCTTCTACTGTGCTAGTTGAACATGGAAGGACGGAAACTTCTAAAACATGAGTCAAAATAAACCCTTTTCTGGCTATCAGGTCTAGGGAAGTGATTAAGATAACCACCATGGCTTGATGGTGTCATTTGCATTTCCCCTTCCAGCAACATCTCTCACACCTGACTGAGGTAAGAAAGTGAGCACATCTTCAGAGCTTTAGGCCTGTATTCCTATGCAGACATCATCAGGCCTATGCCCTGTAGTTGAGTAGGCTTAAGAATGTTGGGCTCTTGGGATGCTTTCTCCTCTGTGGATTTAAGCAATCAGAGTCAACTAGAGATGAGCCACATGGATCCAAGGCTGGGCTCTCCACTGCTCCTTCCCTGGTCCTGAGTACAGAAGGAAATTTGAGGTGTCACATAGGATAAGTTTTTTCACGTCAAAAGAAATTACCAACAAAGTGAAAAGGCAACCTACAAA